AGTGTTATTTTTGGCTTTATTATTTTGTATTAAAAACTATCTTTCTTAGCATAGTATATTGCTATAAATTAGGTTAAAATTTAGAAGCCTTAATGAGCAATGATTACTACAGGTTGACAACCCTTTATATGAAATTCCGAAAACCGAAAGTTTTTTTGTGGAGCATTTTTTTTTTTTTTTTTTTTAAACAGGGATTAGCCCACCCAGGCATAGATCACTGACCCACATCGGGGCCTGGGGGGCAAAAATGTAATAGTAATACTAATTATAATAATACTGTACTAATTATTCATAGTAAATAACATTTTTAATTAAAAAATACACCAAAATAAAGTAATAATGATAACAATAATAATAAAATTTATAATAACAATAATACTGTATTAATAAAATAATAATAATAATAATAATAAAGAAATACTGTATACAAGAATGGAAAAAAGATAAGAAGTGAGAAACACGACCTAAACCTATGAATTATTATTATTATTATTATAATTTTTATTATATTTTCGTCCCCCAGGCCCCAATGTGGTCAGTGACTTGTGCCTGGGTGGACTTAAAAAAAAAAAAAACTAACCATTCTGAAAACCGAAAAATTCCGAAATGCCTCTGGTCCCAAGGATTTCGGATAAGGGATTGTCAATCTGTACCTGATTTTAGGAGTTGAATACTATATTGTAAAAGAGAATTTATCTTCTGTTATTCTTTTCTTTTACATTGGCATAAATTACGTTATCAGAAATTTATTGATAATCTAAATTCAAGATGTGAAAAATCTTTGATGCTGTAAATCCTAGCAATACGCATAGATCTTCCTTGGATCGTGTAACTAGCATTTTCAATCTGCTTCCTGAATAATTTAAAGACTGTATTTACATTGGTCAAATATAGATAGAACTTGTGCAGTGCAATTGTACCATCCACCATTGTCATACCATTTTTGTGCCTAAGTGAAAAGGCCTTAGCAAGAGGTGGTATATCACTTCTATATTCCTGAGGTCTTGTCACTTAAGCAGGAACACATCTGAAAATAGTACTCATATGCTATGGGCTCAAAGGCCAATTGCTTTTATAACTTGTTGTATATAATTTATGATGTAAGTCTCAGATGTGTTTCCTCTGTCAGTGCCTCAAAAGATATTTGTAGATTCATGATATTAGCAGGCCTTATTGTACCTATGTAAATTACACTATATTACTTGATTCGGTAAATGATTTGTGTAGATGTTTTGCAAGAATAGGAAGATATGTGACTAAGATAGCTTTGGGTTATTATTGGTTGGCATGTGTGTGACTTCACTGCTTGTAAGTGGTGAATCCGTCCAGTTGTGGATTATAGGTTCCACATTCCAGTGGAACAGTATATGATTAAGCCAAGATATAACGGTCATGACTTTATATAATCCCTGATCCCTGTCCATATTTGTTAATGTGATATATATATATATATATATATATATATATATATATATATATATATATATATATATATATATATATATATATATATATATATATATATATATATATATATATATATATATATATATATATATATATATATATATATATATATATATATATATATATATATATATATATATATATATATATATATATATATATATATATATATATATATATATATATATATATATATATATATATATATATATATATATATATATATATATAGTAGCTATAAGAATACAGACGCTTGACTGTATTTGTGTGTGAAATACCAAACGGGGTCGTGAGTCTTCGTCTGCTGCAAAGATACTTTACTTCACATCGTTGTAAAGAGTATTATCATTGCACCATAGTTCCATCCAATATATTTTGAAGTAGACTTGAACTTGGATGAGTTTATAATCAACCCTATTGTTATATCACTGATAAATGTGTTGAGAATTCACTACACATGCATCCCTTCTTTTCAATTAATTACTTCTAAAGGATGATATCATGTTGAGGAGTAGATCATATACAGTACTACCTTATTTTTAATTGTCAGTATGTTTCACCCTAAAGATTTATTTTTTTAAGGTAAGTCAGCCAGTTGATGCCATTGAATGTAAAGTACAAACATGCTTTTCACTTGATAATTGTTTAAGATTAAAGTGGAGACTTGATGTACTCTTTGTGCATGACATTAAATGGTTATTTACAGTAAACCCCTGATAACTCCGATTATAAAGGGCTCTTAACTAATCCGAGTTATCAAGGTACTTTCCTCCCGATCTTTATTCTCACCCCAATACCCAACTTTTGGGCCCAAATAACCTACCATAACCAGAAAACTTCCACAAAAATTAACTTGCCGGCACTGCAGGTGAAGTATAAGGATAATTCAAGCTTATGGTGTCATGTGGTAGGTCTTAGAGGTGATGGAGGCTCTTTGCACTTAGAGTACTGTATATACAGTACAATTCTGTATAGTAAGCACTTACAGCACCAACTTTAAATGTTATTATTCACTTAAACTACTGTACATGTACACTAGTTAAATTTTCAATACAGGTGGAATAGCACTTTGCACAAAATACATGAAATTAAGTAGAGCTACTGCGGTCGAGTATCCTCTCACTAGGCCTACTGATTCGGAACTGTGTGGCTGACTGGGCAGAGCCTCCCGCGTGGGTCTGTATGTGTTCTACCATTCCGAGATTGCATCATCATATATCAGATTATTGGGAGTTCTGTCAAAAATTATTTACAGTTGAATATTTTACTGCTATTCTGAGTTATATTGAATTATAAGTTATCAAATTTCGAGTTATCAAGGGTTTACTGATTGCAAATATTGGATAAAAATATAATCCTTGGAATTAAGGAAATGTGTAGAAGTTGCCTAGTTATCATTGTGAACTTTACCGATTTAATGATATGACGAAAGTAATTTTTCATCGTGTCTTGATTTACTCCTCAGTGTTTTAAGCTGTGAAAGTTGGCTCCATAGACCTGACTGTAAAGTTAGGTACCCATTTACAGCTGGGATGACTGGAAATATTCCAGGATTGAATCAGCAATCCTTAGGACAGGAGGTGAGTGCTGTATCAACTCGGCTTCATTAATAAACAAAAACAATGGAAGAAGTGGGGTTCTATAATTTTACAATAGGCTTTAGATTCAAAGTTGTCAAAGGGTCATTCATGCATTGATAATAAGATTTGGTTTATATGGTCTCATTTATATCTTATGAAAAGTTAAATTTTCTTGAATTCGCACTGGAATGGATAAATTCATTATATCTAAAGTTGTGGAGGATCACACATGCATAGATATATGTTGTAAAAGTCTGTAAGTATAGTTTCTATGCCATGTGATTTTTCAGGTACAGTACTCAGTTTTATGAATATGGCAGATGACCTTTACAAAGTTTATTCAGGAACAGCAGTGAAGTCAAAAGACTCGTTTTCTGCCCAAAACAGGAATGGTGTCAGGTGTTACACAGCCCAAAAGGTACACTGTCTTTATTTGTTGTACACAGTATTGTAATTATATAATGAATAGTTTGACAAAAATACTTCTGTATGCAGAAAAGGAATTGGATCTGTAACAATACCGTACATGTTTCATTTGAAATTTAAAAAAATAAAGATATTAGTCTGTAGCTTATTGAAATTTGTATCTACACCATTAATGTACTGTACTGTAACTCTTTTAGGCAGAAGGACATGTACTGTATAACGTTTCTGTTGTGGAAGACATACAGCCACCATATCTTAAAAAAAAAAAAATTATTTTATTATTTGACAGTGGAATTTTATAACGAAGTTAGGAATATACAGTAAATCTGCATATGAATTACAGATATAATAATAGTACTTTGTAGCCATGTAAATTTGATGTGTGAAACTAGAAATGTGTGCTGTAGGATATTTTTTCATGCTGTATATTTTTTCTTAAGGATATACTGTATTGTAATGGTTTGAATATTTTTGTTGAGCCAAGATTATAAAGAAAAAACTTGACTTAGAAATTCTGCCATTAAATTAAGAACATGGTGATCTAAATGGTTTCATCCCATGGGTTAAAATGTTTATTATTGTAAATATAAAGATGGCATTGTCAGATTAGATAGAAGTAAATAATAAGAGCACTTGCAAATGTTGATGCTACAGGTGTTTTTGTATTGATGGAATGACTCACATCTTAAGCTATTAATTAATGTAAATAAATTTGTTTTCAGTAAATTACTTTTAATAACATTATGCACAACCTTAACCTCTTAAGTGTGAAGGGTCTCTGTGCTGAATAAAATCGTCTAGCATTAGCCAAATGAGATATTAAAAGTGGCATCCCTTTGTGAAGGGGTTAGGTGTTTCTGCTTAAACAAAAAAATTTGTTAGACCATGAAAACTGGGAATGTGCAAGTGACATGGATTTTATTGTAAATTGATACCCAGTAGCAATGAAGTCTGAATGAAAACCACAGCCACGATTTAATGATTTATATTTTTTTGTGAATATGATTTGTACAAAAATTTCATTTGGAGATGCTTTGTACTTCATGTAAAACTACAGACAATTTGATGAGATAGCAATCCTAAATTTAAGATGTACCTTGTACCCTTTATATAAGGTGATACATTACTTACTAAAGAGGACAGAAATAGTATTGAAATTATTTGGGGGTTTTGAGGAAAGTGAATACAGACAGTGGTCCCTCTGTTAGACGAATTAGTTCCCATAGGGATCTTCAATTCGGTTAACGAACAAAACTTAGATTAACAAAATCCTTACGACGAACGCGTTTTGTTGTGAGCATCAGCTGATCGGCTAGTCTGCCAATACAGTAATCAGTTCTATGTTTACATTCATTTCCAGTAGAGTAAATATCAAGAAGGTTGTGCTCTTTAATATTTTTGCATTTATTATATTAAAATTATTTGTCATTCTAAAATATAGTTAACATATTGATAATATATGCAGTACAGGGAACTAGTTTTTTTTTTTGCGCCCATCAGCCGCTTGACTCACCCGCCAAAGCATCGGTTTAGCTTTGTTTATAGTGGATGAAACATCGTGTTTGCTGCTCTCTTGAATACAGAGTATTTTTACGTTTTTACATTAAAATTATTGGTCATTCTGAAATTTAGTTAACATATTGATAATATACAGTACAGTATAGCGCAGTGCAGTGTTGATTTAAATAAAATAATCTTAATTACAGCTAATGAACTGAAAATTTTATTGGTGA